TTATGAACAGATCCATTACTGAGGGGCGGGGGCAAGTATTCCAGACAGGAGATTCTCGGACTAAAAGGAAATTAACATCAGCCCTCTTTGATGTGTCTGCAATTCAGCCCGCCGCTTGCACACACAGATCCTACTCTAGAGCATGCCAGTGTTCCCATGCACAGCACGGCATTTCTCTGGACTTTGCTGCCCTTACCCCCAGCCCTGCCACACCAGATGAGCAGCTGCTCAAATGCAAATTCCACCAGGGCAGCTTCAGGGAGAAGCAGACAGCAGAGCCCACGGGCAGACTGGGCACAGGAGTTGGTAAGGAGAGCTTTGCACTTAAAAGACCCTGTGGTCCTGCCCAGTGCCATTCCCGATGTCCTTAAAGCACAATACTCAATTTATTGTTGTTGGCAGTTTAAGTGGACTGCGGCTTAATTTGTGACACAAGGTCAACTGAACTTCACTTCAATCTCCAGGGCCTGCCCTGGGTAGTTAGGTTCTATTCTCTGCCTTGTTCCAAACAGCAAATTAGAATTCTCCTTCTCATAACAAGAAGAAATTAGTTTATACACAGCAGGAGAGAGAAATAAATTACAACCCTCTGCCCTCCTTATAGAGGGAGAAGGGAAAAGACACTGATTTGTATATGAGGATAATTTATGCCATGCAGGGTATTGGTTTTATGGTTCTCTTTCGAAAAGTGAGTTTAGTCAGCCTTTAGGGGACAGGGGTGGCTGGGGACAGGGTGCTGGACTGACCGTGTCCTGACCTGCCCTATGCAGGTCTGCATTTCTGTGCTTTAGGAGGCAAACGCACATTAGGTCCCTGGAGCAGCTTGTTGCCCCTAATGTGTGTGCTTTCTGGAGTCTTGATCATCATCTCCAACAGCAACGATCAACATTCTAAGAGGGCACAGACTAGATGAGAATTAAATGTGCATTTTACAGTCACCAAAGTAGTTGAGGGTGGTGCCTCCTCAGGCAACGAGGAGCAATGAGGTCTAGGACCTCTTCCCTCCCCAGCCACCCGGGAGGAGCACTTGCTCTGGGCCCCGCTCCCCAAACCAACCTGCATGCACCACACCAGGCCACCCATGATGATGTTAACACCCTCCTGCCTTGGCCTGTGCTTTCGCGTCATCTTGTGGTTTAAAGTTCCTCAAATTCATGTCTATGTGCATGGCACGCACACACGAGACTCCTCCAACACGGTACCCACGAAGGGGACCTGCCATGGTAGACGCAGCCAAGGCACCTGGCAAAGAATCCCTTGTCGTGGTGCATACACAGACAGCCTTTGCCTGCCAATTCTGTCCCTCTGGCTGCATCTCCGAAACCCTGAAGCCAAACACACATTTGCTCTGCACCAGCCTTCATCATCTTCACTCTGTTTCCCCGACATCTTGAAGCAGCTCTTTGGCATTTCTGCCAAACAATGTCACTCTCACACCTCTTCTGACAACCTTGGTGTCACCTGTCTTTCCATTCTCCATGAATGGCGCTGCCTGTGTGCCCCAGTGTCTCCAACCAGAAGCTCCCCAAGTGCAGGGACGGGGCTCTCTTCTCCTCGCCCCCCACCTCACCAGTGCTGGCCACTGGCGGGCATCCCAAGTTCCTGCTGCACAGAAGCAGGGGCACTTGCCTTCCCCTAATGGCTCCATGCTGCCTTTCCCCATCTAGCACCAGGGGCGGTGTCTCCACTGAGCGGCCCAAGTGCCTGGTGACTGGTGCTGATGTTACCCCTGTGCTGAGCTCTGCTTCAGGAAGGCGGCACCAACTTGACTCCTTAACCAAGGTCCCCAAGGACGTCAGCAGTCCCCAAAAGACCATAGCGGAGAGTGCAAAGAGAGGAGGCAGGTGGTTTGGCCCCATGGACAGAAGTGGGAGACACTTCCCCAGGACAAGGTGGAGGGGAGTCCTCACTCCATCAGCCTGCACCCAGGAGGAAGCAGTTGTTATATGCAAATTTATATGCCAGCGTGTACAACTACACAACACAACAAACCCATCACACTACAAGTAGAGGGAGAGGCCAGGCATCTTTGATCTGGAAGCAAGCCCTGCTCTTGAGACAGGGAGACTGTCACACACTTGGCCTCCTGGGAATCCAATCAGGGCCACCTTTACGGCATCTGGCATCAGAAACTCCAGGCAGCTGTCCCACAGTGTACGGCAGAAGGCACCTGCAGCGGGCTCCGGGCAATGTTAGTTTTGTGTGCGACAGGGATGGCTCTGCCCCAGGCACAGCGGTGACAGCAGAGAGCTGTAAAAGCATAGTGAAGCAGCACAGCTCTGTACCCTTGCCACCCTGGCTCTTGGGCAGGCACTGAGCAGCCAGAAGGACCTCATGGAAGTGGACACTTCTGTATCCATTTTACAGACAAGGAAACTGAGGCACAGAGAATGAGAATTCTCACCACAGTGACACCAACAGCAAATACAAATCCCAACTCTACAGGCCCATCTACACCAGCAGCGAGCAGCTCTCCTGGTGCCCAGTAGGTGGGGGGCAGATGTGACCCTCCTGATAGTGACGGAAAAACACACCCAGAGGAATTGGACAATGGCAAGTGGATCTCTCTCTCTCTCTCTCTCTCTCTCTCTCTCTCTCTCTCTCTCTCTCTCTATCCTTCTGGTCCCATTTTTCTCCACTTTTGTGACCGCCTCTCAGAGCAGGCTCCAGATGGAGCCACAAGACATCACCACAACAAGACATGTGTCTTGGGCTTATAAAGGGACCAATAAGGATGAGGATTTTGTAAAATGGAGATGGGCGTGGGAGGAAGCAGGGGAGTCTCATCTTTAAGGTCCATGTGTCAACTCTGTCGGCACCGGCTGGGGCCCTGGTCTCAAGTCAGAAGGGCAAGACCAGAGGGTGGCTCTCCAGAACGTGGAAGGCACCTGGCCCCTCTGCCCAAGCCCAGCTGCCTCGGGAGCCTCGGGGAGGCTCAGGACACATCCCCGTGCCTCCCCAGATTGGCCTGACACCAATCAAATCACTGCTTTCCAGTGCCTGGGGACGGATTCCATGCCACATAGCAATGCATCCTCTCTGGAACCATGATGTGCTTTGTGCTCTTTTAGTCTGCTAAGCGTGTTAAATCCCTCCCTTTAATGAGCCTGCCCCCGTGCCCAAGTTTAAACAAAGGCGTCACTCACTTTCACCGTGCTGCAGTCTGATCACACCTGGCTCCTATGTATTGCAAGGGGGGAGCACATTAACAGCGTTTAGGATGTGAAGACATGAAGGGCACACAGGTTTTATTCCTCTCAGCAGGATGGAGCACTTAGCTCGATGTCAGAAAGACAGAGAGCTGCAGATATCCTGTTAGGTTCCCTTGGTGGATTTCCCCTCGAGCAGGATCAGGGCCACATTTTGAGGGCAAAACTCCATGGATCCCTTGTTCCTGCTGGCTTGGGTACTCTAGTCCACTATACAAGCAGCCCCCAATCCTGCATTGCTGTGCCCGGTGGCATGAACAATGTCCCTGCTCAATGTACCTGCGGCACCTTGAGGTTTAGTACTTAAATCTAATTCCACGCTTTCCTCTTTGCCTAAGAGCCAGCCCTGCTTGGGATTTGTCTGCCTGTTTACTCTGTAACGACGCCGATGAGCAGCCGTGGCTGGGCACTGGGTGAAGCACTGAGGATTCGGAGCTGAATATGCACAGGAACTGGCAGGAGGTTGGGCAGCTGTGCCCCAGGAGAGGTTGAGATGTCTGAGCAGCTGGCTGGGCTGGAACCAGCCCAGTTGGAAGGCCCATTGGGTCCTAGATGGCTTCTTGAGTTTGCACACAAGGTCTCGGAGGTGCAGAGAGGAAAAGCGACACTAGCTGTGTCACCTGTGCAGAGGGAGGGAGAGGGACAGGACCGGCCGCTGAGCGCTGTGTGTGAGCTCTCCACCCGAGGGGCTGCTCGGCTGCCATGCTGTCCTCAACCCTCTTCCTCCCTCTGAGACCGGGGCTTACTGTGTCCCTGAGCAGTGCACAGCAGCTACGTGTGCACACATCCACGCGACCCACAAGCACGTCCCTAAACAGGCTCTGTGATGGGCTGCTCAGGCTGCCTAGAGAAACCATCTGGAGAAATCTCTTTGAGTGAAGAGTCAATGGCTGCAACTGCCCGGCGTGCACTGCCAATAAGGACCACAGGCTCACAGACTCAGAGCTTTGATTTCACTCTGTGGCTCCCTATGACTATCTGGGCACGTGCTCCACAGTGACGTCTGTCTGCAGGCTCTGTGGTCTAGTAAGCAGATGAGCCACGGGACCAAAACCATGGTAAAGGAAGGACAGCAAAGCCAGGTGCAGTGGTGCTTGCCTGAATTCCCAGCACTCTAAGAAGCTGAGGAAGGAGGACCCCAAGTTCCAGAGCCCCGCCTGGGCAACTCAGTGACTTAGGGAGACCCAGTCTCAAAATAAAAAACAAAAATGGCTGGGGATGGAGCTCAGTGCAGAGGCCCTGGGTTCAATGTCCAGTACCATAAAAAAGGGAGCTGGGAGACACTGGGCCAAACCACGTGAAACTGATTGCCCTAGGGGACCCCTGCCTACTAAGCAGTCTAGGGGACACCCGGGCAAGCATGAACGGATCTTTGCCCCTGAGCAGTGCTGCTGGCTCTAATGTGCACATCCAGGACTAAGCCTGACACAGACCCAGGAAGGCTGAGAGTCACAGAGACAGGCCAAGGCCACACCAGCATGTAAAATCCCTTCCTTTGGAGGAAGAAGTTGATGCCGAAGTGCTTTCTCCCCTGGGCCTGGGCCTGCCGGTCCATGATCATTTTATAAAACAGGGGCTGTGGCTCTGCCCACCTCCGCACAGGACGAGGGATGGCAGCAATGTGACAACATAACAGCAATTCCACACGCCCGCTTTCCATACGCTTATTAAGCGGTAAGACACAACAGGGCATGAATTATTATGCAATAACTCATGCCTGGAAGCAATTTGAGTCACAAAAGTCGAAGGATTCATCATTATCATATATTCAGTTCTATTTTTCTTTCTCGTGCTATAAAAAATCATGTCTAAATCTCCTAAAACCATCATAGTTACATCAAAAAGTGGATTGGGCTATCAACTTCGACAGTTTAAGATAAACCAGCCGCTGAGCAGGAAAAACTGACGAGTTCTTTATTCAGGTGTTGGTGCTGTTGCTGGGAGATGATGATAAATATTCTGTTTCTTATTCCTGCTTTGAGAAAAAAAAAGACACTTCCAGTCAAAAAGCCTGTGGAGGGCCAGGGGTATCTTGGGGACACTGTCACCCACCTGCAGCAAGTGGCGCCCTCGATGTGGAGCTGCGGGAACATCTCCTTGGGGCTGCACTGTTGACCTATTATGGCCCAGGACCCTGCACAGAGACCACACGTTCCCCCACACAGGGCTGTGGACAGGGCCCCCAGAACCAGGCTTCGATGATGTCTGATGGGAGGCGTGGCCTGCATCCTCACTGAAAGTGTATGCAGCCCCTACCGCCCTGATGAAGGCACTCAGGGACAAGCTGCAGCAGCCCCAGGGCAGACTGGGGCTCTGCGGCCATGCATTTCCGGGAAGCTAACAATGGGCTGGCCGGGGCCAGCTAGAGGAGGTGGCTCCTGACCCCAGACACCCGCTGGGGGTGTGAGCTAAAGCAGAGATGCAAGGGACTCTGGAGAAATCCATCCTAACTGCCCCACAGAGAAGTGTCCTCCTCATCATGTTCCACTGACTGCAGTTGAGGCTGTGAGCCAGGGAACAACACCATGGGGGAGAAGGGGAACACAGTTCAGCTTCTGCCCCCCCACAAGAAGCCTGGTCCTCCCTGATCCAGAGAGCCCCAGCCACCCAGTCCCTGCACAATATCTACCCCAATATTCACCCTGGTGCCCACCCAGTGCACTGGAAGTTCCCAAGCACACAGCAGCAGAACACTAGAAGTCACCAAGGCTTAGGGACAAGCAGACTGTTGCTGCTGGTTCTGCCTGCTTCCAGTATCTGATTCTAGTTGACCCCCAAACCTCGGAAGTTCTCCCCAGCTCAGGGCTGCCTGTCAGGGGTGCCCTGAGAGTCGAAGAAAGCAGGAAGCAGGAAATGTAGGGTGCAGACCCGACCCAAAGCCCTGTAACGGAAGAGGCTGACATCACAGGGCAGGCTGTGCCAAGGTGGCCTGGGTCTCCAGGCGGGGAGGCCTTCCGAAGGACACACAACAATGTATAGGTGGCTTGTGCATTCGTCACTCCACGGAGGCTGCACAGGCCCTGATGGGGGCCACAGGTTTTGGTCAACAGCGATGCCTGGTGTTGATCATCAGTTTCAACAACATTCTCCGAAGGACACACAACAATGTATAGGTGGCTTGTGCATTCGTCACTCCACGGAGGCTGCACAGGCCCTGATGGGGGCCACAGGTTTTGGTCAACAGTGATGCCTGGTGTTGATCATCAGTTTCAACAACATTTCACACAAGTGCAAGCTGTCACTGAGACCAGAGATAGGGAAATGGAATCTGTATTTTCTCCTCAACTTTTCTGTAAACTGCTCAGAAATCTATAGTGAAAACTAATAGCACAGTGCAGCCTCTCGACTGTACCTGGACCAGCCTGACCCCCGGACCCCTTGCATGTTCTGCCAAGGTTAGTCCTAGGGGCAGGGACAGTGCTGAGCTTAGGATAGCTCAGCAAGACCCCATCAGGGAGGAACAAAAGCAGGGCACCGAAGCAGGCTGAGCAGGGGACCTGGAGTCCAAAGTTCTTACAGGTGAAAGGGGCCCGGCCACCTGCAGGGCTTATGGTGGTCACAAGGTTGGCAAGACTGCTCTGAGCAGGACAGAGGAAGGTGTAGCAGGGGCACCGGAGGGAGCAGATGGAAGAGCTATGAGCAAGCCAAGCAGGGGTGGGCCACTCTGGGTGTGGCCAAGGGGCAATGCTGCCTGAATCTCCATCTCCCCAGGAGCCCTGGGAGTCAGGGGCAGAGGACACAGTTCGGGGGAAAGTTCTGTCAGCGACAAGCAGGTGCCCATGGCTCAGAAAGGCAACATCCAGTAGCAGATGGACAGCCAGGCTGCTCAGGGGGACCGGGGTTGGGTGCCCACCAAGGTCCACTGTGCCTGAGTGATGGAGGCAGATGCTGGCCGGCCTCCGTGTCTACCATATGCACCTGGTCCTGAGGGGTCCTCGTGTCTGTCCAGCTGGACAACAGGGACAGAAGGCATCTCAGAGCACGTGTGTTTTTCACATGTCCTCTGGAGGTGAGAGAACCAGTTCTGGCCCCTGCGCACATGGGTACCAGGCAGCACTCGGGAGAAAGGAGCTGTCAGGCCCTGGTGATCCATGCAGGAACATGCAATGCAGATTAGCTGAAAGAAGCCAGTGTGAAAAGGCTGCACACTGCAGGATCCCAGCCCTACCACTCTCTGGAAGGCAAACTGCAGACAGTACAGGGATCAGGTATTTTCATGGGGTTGGGGCAGGGAGGGAAAAACAGCCAAAGCACAGGGGTCTCCCCAGGCAGGGAAGCTTCTCTGTGTGACCCGGGAGTGAGGGGTGCATGTTGCTGCACATTGTCGAAACCTACAGGATGCACAATGCCAAGAGTGAATGCTGGACATGGTAGTGGACACTCGTAATCCCAGTACTTGGGAAGCTGAGGCAGGAGGACTGCCATGAGTATGAGGCCTACACTGGACTACGTAAAGACCCTGTCTCAAAAAACCAAACCAAACAAAATAAAAATGTCAAGAATGAGCCCAATGTGAACTGTGGTCTTTCCTTAATAACAACATATCCATATTGACTCATCCGCGCTAATTGGAAGTATTAACAGGGAAGTTTTGGGGCAAGGCCACAGTATATAGGAGCTGTCTACTTGCTGCTCAGCTTTTCTACAAACAGGAAATGGTTTTAAAAATAAAATCCATTAACTAAAAAAAGCATAGGCACAGGTTCATGCACACAGCACACCAAGGCTCCCGCCCCAGGGCCTGGGCTTCTTGGCTCACTTTGAACTCCCCGTCCCTCCATTACAGCCTCCCACAGGGCCCCTCTCCTGCTCATGGCAAGGCGGGCCTGTTGGCAGCGTAGCTCCCTCCTTCCCTCTAGAGCACAGGCTTCCTGGCTAGGCAAGGGTGGACTGGGAGCCTTGCTCCTCCAGTTGCGGTGGGCAAGACCCAGCAGGGTGGACAGAGGCAGCTGTTCCCGACCAGCCTGCCCATCCCTGCCTCAGAGGGTCTGTGCCCAGCCCAGGTATGGGCTGGTTGCTGAGTGCCAGGTAGCTGTGCACACTGGCTTCCTCACTGTTAGCACAGCCACACGGAGGAGTGAGCACAGTGCTGTGCTGCACACCCTCTAGTTTACCTGGGGGGAACCAAAGCTCACTTTAGTGAAGTCTCATCCAAGCCATCACAGCCCGAATAGCATCCAGGCACAGTGCAAGCCTGGCTGCACTCACCACCGACCTCAACCGTCGCTGCATAGAAAGGGCCAGGCGCCAACTGCTACAAACCTCAGCATCACCTGGCTGTTTTCACACAGCCCCCCACCCAGACAAGTGGGCGTGAGTGTCTCAGTCCCCAGGGGCTGAGGGGACCACAGTGGGCACTGCCCCTGCTCCGCGTATGGGCCAGTGCATTTACAGAGCTACAGAGACACTGGGCGGAGGAGAAGCCGGAACACCATTCCAGCCGGCAGGGGAGGGAGCACTGGCTGTGGTGACCTTGGCTGCCTGAGGCCTCTGTGCAGATTTGTGGTGAAGGGCACGCTCCACCCCAAGGCCACTGCTCAGCAAGCATCGCACCCGGGAACTGCCAGGCGTGCGCAAGAGGAACAAAGACAGATGGGCCATGCCTGGTCTTAAATCACACACGGTGACAGGCGTTCCGCACATGATCCATGGGCAGTGGCCTGGCAGGTGGCGTTAATCTGCAGTAGCTGTGATGGGGAGGGCTCCGGGCATCCCGTCCTCTGAGAGCTGCTGCCATGGGGCCTGTGGTGGCTCCGTGCAGGTGACAGCTGCGGCCTGGGCTGGTTCAACCCACCTGGTGACCTCATGCCTGTCTCTGCAGAAGCCCTCAGCTGTGGCCCACGGCTGTGGCAGAGCAGACCAACAGCAGCTCCTCCTGAGGGCCCCGGCCTGTGGCAGCACCTGGGCAGGGCATGGAGGCGCCTTGTACGGGATGTATCACAGTGCTGGAAGGCAGGATGCCCGGGTCCTTTCATCTTCTGTCCCTCAAGTCCCTGACCAGGCCTCACCAGTGTCCGGGGGGCCAGAGCCAGGGTGCATCTGGCCATGTGGGCCCCACAACAGGCCATTACCACATGTGCTTCTCCTTCAACGGGGCAAAGCCCCTGTGGTAGGCAGAACGGGATTGTGGTTTCACTTGCGGGGACAAGATCTGGGCCTAAGGTCCCCAGGCTGCCACCTCCTAAGAAGACCCTGACTTTAAGAGGGCTGGTTCCAGCCCATCAAGGAGCTGCCCATCAGAACCAATGTACTATGAGCTTCTTCAGGAAACTGAGTCGGAGGGTCCTGGGAGAAGCATGGCTGGGAGATGGTCCTCCTCTCCCCAGATGCCCGCCCTTCTGGGGTGCTCACCTCAGGTGGCTTGGCTTTGCCCACGGATGAAGGCCAGGGATTCTCTTGCCTATCCCCCTACAGGCCCTAACTCGCCATCCCCACTGCCCGCCGGCCAGCACAGCCCAGCCCAGCCCAGTCCATCCCAAAGCCAGCCTGCTGGAGTGAACAAACTGTCCCTGCTGAGTCACCTCAAGCTGTCCCCTCCACTAGCAGCGCCTCTGTTCTGGACCTGCACAGTTCAGGGCGGGGCTGTCTTGGGGCAGCACTGTGACATGGCACCCACCTCTGTCCTCACAGACAGAAGGAAGAACTCCAGTCAAACCCCGAGGTTACTCCACAAAGGCAGAGTGGAGGTCAGCCAGCAGCACAGGGCAAAGCTGTCACAAGACTGCCACTTCCTCCTAGACAAATCAGCCACCAGGTCAAGCAAGGCGTGGCCCAGGCAGGGTCTCCCCGCTGGGGTCACCCAGATCTCACATCCTGCCCCAACTGTGCAGCATCGGGCATCCCCAGCCAGTGGCCAGGTCACAGAGGGCACAGGTTGAGGTGGGCACGTGGCTGCTAGATACGCAGCGAACACCTTTCTGCTTTATGGGAAGCCCTGATGTACGCAATTCCACCATCTCTGCCCAACAAACGTTTTAAGAACAAAAGGAAACACAGACCCCACAAGTCAGCCTGGGCTCACCCTCCTAGGCTGCTACTCCCTGATACTCACAGAAACCTTGGAAAGGGGGTCCAGCTCCTCTCCCTGTGGGGCCCCATACAGACCTGCTCAGCCACCTCCCCTGGGTCCTCACTGGAATCAGCACAAAGACACGAAGCTCTATCCCCCCTGCTGGCCTCTGGTTGGGACAGGAGGCTGAGAACCACAGGCTGCAGGCAGGGACACACCACCCCATGCCCTCCTCCTTTGTGGACACAGCAAGATGACAGCTCAAGTAATGTGTGTTTGATCGATTCGCTCTGGGTCACACAGCCAGGTCGCAGGATTACCAATTTACCAATTCCTTTCCATGCCTAACTCTCTCCTAACAAGGGCAGGCTGAGGTCAAGCCCCCATCCCCGCACTGAAGGTGGCAGGTCAAGGGCACAAAGCTGGGGTGATGGAAGCTCCCTGAGGGCCTTGACTCCCAGGCCGAAAAGGTAGTGTTTAACTGTGACTTGAGTGAGCTGGGGCTGCACAGGCACTGCACAGAGTTGCTTGGTCCAAGCACCAGACAGAGAGCCAGTGTCCTCTGCCACCATCCGTCCCACAGGAAACAGGGCTCTTTCCTCCCAAGTAGGGTGCAAAAGGCAGCACAGCTGGATTGGAGGTGCAGTCAGGAAGAGGCCCAAGTGGCCCCAGGGACAACAGTACAGTGGTTGCAGGCAGAGGAAGAAGAGAAGAGATGCGGCATGGAAGAGACCCTGCAGGGCCAGCACATGTGTCTGTTATGGCCCACAAATGGGGATGCCCATGGTAATGCAGGTGGGGTCACACCACAGATTCATGGGGTGTGGGCTAGGTCCCCTTAGGACGCCAAGCCCAGGAAACAGGAGGTCCTCATCCCCAGCTCCCCAGACAGGAAGCACAGGCCGCTCTAACTGCAGGCCTGGAGATGGACTCTGTGGCCCTGTGTAGCCCCTAGGGGCACTTGTGTTTTGGGGGTTCTCTGTCAATTCTTAGGAAATGGCCTTCTAGTACCACTTTCTATCTGCAAGTCTCCATTTGCAGCACAAAATATCTTAACAAGGCTCTTGTTTTTAAATAGCCCAGTTTATGGCTTTCAATGTTTCAAAGTAATTAAGCTTCCATTTTTCACATATTTCACAAGAGCTCAGGTTGCAGGCAGTCCTACAATTATCCATCCATTCATCTAGCGTCAAGTACTTTATCTGAAGATAGATGATGGGCTTTGGGTTATTTCCTGGAGTTTTCCATAGATTTCTGCAAGCACTACAGAAAGGGAGAACCCAGCTCTAGAAATGTCCTGGGCTTGCTGGTCCCTCTTTTGGCCTCAAGAGGAAAGGTCTGATAGTGTCTACAGGCCTGACACTCTGAGACACGTGCCAGCACATCAGCCACCTGCACTGTACCTCCAAGAATCTCAAGTAATTGGAGAGGTCTTCGTGCTGCAGAATGCTCCACCTACAGCTCCACAGAGCTTAGCCATGGGCAACAGAAGATCTGGGCTTTGCAATTGACTCACTGAACTGTGGCTTATTTCATTTCATTGATAGTTTTTAGTTTTTTAATTTTTAAATTTGGCTCAGAAATTTCTCAAATTTATTTACATGTAGCTGGCCATCCATCTCACTTGCCCAGCCTGTCAACACCTACCCACCATCCATCTCTCATCTATCCATCATCCATCCATCCATCCACCCATCCATCATCCATCCACCCTTCCATCATCCATCCATCCATCATCCATCAACCATCATCCATCCATCTTTGGAATCACCTACCCATCCATTCACACACCCATCATGAATCTTTCTATCCACTTGTCCATCTATCCATCCACTTACCCATCACTTATCCATCCTTTCACCCATCCATCCATCCACCCATCCATCATCATCCATCCATCTCTGCAATCACTTACCCATCCATTCACACACCCATCAAGAATCTTTCCATCCACTTGTCCATCTATCCATCCACTTACCCACCACTTATCCATCCTTTCACCAATCCATCCATCCACCCATCCATCATCATCCATCCATCTCTGCAATCACTTACCCATCCATTCACACACCCATCATGAATCTTTCCATCCACTTGTCCATCTATCCATCCACTTACCCACCACTTATCCATCCTTTCACCCATCCATCCATCCATCCATGTAATCACCCACCCATCCATCCACATACCCATCCATGCATTCATGAATCTATCCATCTGCTTGTCCATCTATCCATCCACTTACCCATCCACCCATCCATCCACATATCCACCCACCCATCCATCCATGCATCCATGAATATAATCATTCACCTATCCACCTATCCATTCACCCATCCAACTATCCTTCTGTCCATCCATCCATCCACCCCCTTCACACCTTTAACAACCCATGCACATCTACCCACCTTCCATCCATCTACCCAATACAGCTTTTGAGTACCCATGTGCCATGCAGGCCCTGAACCAGATGCCAAGGGTACAATGATGAATAGAGAGGACAAGCTTCCTGTCCTCATGACATTTATGGTCTGGTGGGAGAATGAGCTATAACATTAACGTTTACCTCTCTAACTGCTACGTTCTAGGGTGGGAAACAGGAGACAGAATAACATGGAAGATCTGCTTTTGATCAGTGGTCAAGGAAGGCTCCTGTGAATGTAAACTGAGGCAAGAAAGACAAGAAGAGTCAACTAGGAAAACACCCCAGAAGGAACAGAGCACACAGTGAGAAAGTGCACCCACCCTGTGCCTTAGTTCCCAGACCCAACTCCCCACTTCAAAGAGGGTCCATTTGGACCCCGGAGACAGACCCCTCTTGCTGTGTCCACTCCCAGCACCAGGCCTGGGTCCTCCTACCAAACAAGGATGAGCCTGTCTCTGTTTTATTGTTTTGTTTTGTTTTCGGTGGTACTGGGGTCTGAACCCAGGGCTTCCCATTGAGTTACATTCCCAGCCCTTTTAATTTTTTATTTTGAGACTCAATTTTGCTTAAGCACCAAACCAGGCTCGGGGTTGTGATCCTCCTGTCTCAGCCTCCCAGAGTTCTGGGATGACAGGTCCTTATAACAGTTCTACAGGCATTTGTGGGAATGGCTGTGACTCCCCAAGGTAGCAAACCACACACAGAGCCCCGAATGCTGTTCAGCACCCAGGTGTGAGCCGCAGAGGAAGAGGGTGGGTTGAGTGACAGAAGGAATGTTCGGGAAGGCATGACGAGTTCCTGGCCCAGGCTGCAGAGGCCAGGGAAGGTGAGGGGTACAAGAGAGAGCAATGACCCCAGGGCCCATGCAGAGGCCGTGCTCTGGTGACTGCAGGCAGCAGGGATGGATGCTGGAGGGGCTCTGGGAATCAGCACCTTCTGGATCTGGGAGCGACCATGTGTCAACTCACTCAGTCCTGTGACAGTGGCTCAGGGTTGCTCTGGGCTCACACTGTGGCTGCTTCTCACAGAGGGCGAGGACATTCACACTCAGTAGCCTGAGCAGAACCCATTCTGCTGATGAACAAGTCCCATGCTTTGAGCTCTGGGACTTGGGAATCTCAGGCAGGGTCTGTGGCCTGTAGCTCAAGTTCCCTTTGTTCATGGATAGAGTTGGAAGGGGTCAGGCAGCTGGTGTGACAGCCTCTGAGATGTGGCCTTCAGGAGACAGGGGCTCAAGGTGCAGAGCGGGGGTACAGGCCTGGTGAAGTGACACCAGCAGGAGGGTGACCAGGCTGCAGGTGCAGGGCAGGTTGGAGCTGGAGGAGGTGGCCAGGCTGGGCCAGGACTGTGACACAGAGCCCAGGCTGAGCAGGAGATTTGCTGATGGGGTGCTTGGCTGGGTACCACACCTTCCCCTGGGGAGGGAGCTCTCACCAGATGCATAGAGACCACAGGCCACACACCTTTGCTGGCAGGGCCAGAAGGGGCCCTGGGCCACATGCTGGTGGGCCCAGAGCCAGGAACACAGATGCCCCTTGCTTGGGGCTGACGAGGACACCCTGGAGCGACTTCCTGTCCTTAGTACTGGTGTAGATGCCACGGGGCCCCCTGTAGCCTCACAACCAATGGGGTTTTCCTGCACATGGGAAGAACCTGGCCCAGCAAGGTTGAAGGCAAAGGACAAACAAGATCGGCACTTTAGAGGGAGAGGTGGGGCACTGGGGTCTTCTGCAGGCTCACCACACTGGAGTCACTCAGTTCCCAGGCTCCAACAGCCCTGTACCCAGGCGGAGCAGACACAGCCAGGATAGTGGGGTTCTCAGACGTGGGATGGGGGACAAGTCGGGGGTCCACACAAGCACATCACAGTGACCTTTGCCTGTTTGATCCCAACCTTGTGGCTGATGGTCCTTGTGCTGCTCAGTCGGAGACCAGGCACCCGGGTCAGGCCAGCCCATGAGACTTCTCCTTCCCAGGTCCCAGTAACATGGGCTAATGTCACCACTGAGTTTTGCCTGCACCAGGGCTGTGGTGCTCGGAAGAGGACACTCTTTCATAAGGCCCTGGCTGCCCTGGCCAGCCCCGCACAGAGGAGGTACAGGAGCTTAGCTCGGGGTCTCACCTGGGCATGCTGGGAATTCGGCACACAGGACACCACGTGAGCTATGTCCTCACCCAGCTTCTGTCTCCTTGTCACCTCAAGTGAGCCGCAGGAGATGCATCCCATGGCAGACATGGCACTGCGGCTGGCCTGGAGCTATAACCTGCACAAAGCCACTGGCCACATGGCCTCCCAGTCCTCGAAGCAGGGACACTGTCCATGAAGGGCAAGGACAACACTGTGTCCCATATCTGAAAGTCAGCAGCGGGTTGTGAATCTACTTCGGGGCTGGGGGTGTAGTGCCCCAAGGCCCTGGTTTGATCCCCAGCACTCTCAGAGACAGGTTTATCACACCCCTTGCTGGATGAGTGAGTGTTCCCTTCCTCTCTGACAAATCGAAGGGGACACCTGCAGCCTTTCTCTCCTGTCCCAGGAGGGGCAGCACCAGAGGGATGACAACTTGGGGTTTCAGACAGAGGTGGTGAAAGGAGCATCAGCCGTAGAGCTGTCGGGGCCCTGCCAGCTCCCATTACAGGCAGGGAAACTGAGGCATCAAGTGGAGAAGCAGCACCTGCTGGACACCTGGCCAGGTGGGTATCCACATCCATAGCCCTGACAGCTTATCTGGGTGGGCTGGGCACTAGGCAAGTGGGACTCACAGAAAGAGCTGTGGACACAGCTGTGCGTGCAGGGCCAGAGCTCCAGAGGAGAGGGCCGATGGCAGCGTGAGTGTATGTGGTGGTGGCCTCCGAGGATCTGGCCCAGTCCTGACCCCCGGGACAGCAGAGAGCCTGACACAACCCAGGACAATGCACAGAAGCTAGGGGAGGCCGGAGCCGAGCAAGAGCTGCACCACAGGCAGACCCGGCCCCAACACAGCCCCACTCCCAGGCTCCAGGCCCTACCTGGGACGGCGCCATGGAGACGGCGCTGAGTCACCGTGTTCTGTCCATGTGGGGACAGGTGAGCCCACAGGAGGGAGGGCCGAGGCCCTCAAAGACGGAGCCGGAGCCTACAGAGGTTCTGCTCACTTTATTTCCTTTGTAATCTCAGGAAAAAGACGAGTTAGCATGGGGCACAGGATGGTGGGGAAAGAGAGGCAGAGTGGGCACTGAGCAGGGCCCGTGGGCAGGGGCTGGTCCAAGTCACCCACGGAGCTGCTGTTAGACTATGGAGAGGGACAGATCTGCAAAGGAATCACCTCCATGGCTGCAGAGCTGAGGCTGTGCCCGGGTACTGACGGGGACGCCGCAGAAAGAGCTAGAGCAGGATGTGGTACTTGAGCGCCCTGGGAACCCTGTTGATGACCAGCCTCCCGTCGTAACTCAGGGATGCAAACAGCCACGGGTCAGCCGAGGACCAGTCAACGGCATACACACTGTCCTCATGCTCCTCATAGGTCGCGATGACATTGTCCTGCAGCGGCTCCTTACTCCTGCCACCCAAGGGAGACAGCTGTGAGCACCACACAAGGGTGGCCGAGGCTGCCCTGGGAGGGTCTCTGGGCCAGGGGGTCTTGTGCGCCCCCTGCAGGAGCTCTGGGCCCACGACCCGCCCCGACTGCAGCACAGAAGGGGATGTCCCCTACCCACAGGAGCCCTCTAACAGACACCCAGGGACCAGGGACACTGCGTCTGCTGTGGGGCCCTTACTTCTCCTCTGCATGGTGCTCCTCCTGGTCACTGACGTCGTCGTCATCCACCAGGTGGCCAAAGGGCTCCGAGGAGATGGACACCATGTTGGACAGGATAACCCTGCTGTCGCTGCTGCCGGTGAGCACCAGCTGGTCATGGGAGTGGTTGTAGCGGACGCTCCACACCCTGCAAGGGCACGGAGGCTGTTGGGATGGTCGGCAGGAGGTGACCCTGACAGACTGGGTGGACTCGGGGCAGCGGGTCTCCAGCCACATGTCAGGGCTGGTGTCAGGGATTCTGCAGCGGGCACGAGGCCAACTGTGTGTTGCCCTACAATACTCTCCTGGGTGCCAGCAAGCAGATATGAAGGACTAAATGTCAGCTCATAAGGCAGAGGACGGGGAACCACCACTCGGCACTCCAGATGGCCGCTCCAGAATCCCAGACAAAGCTGCTCTCACAGGAAAGCACAGAGATGAGCAACAACTGGAGCACCGAGGAAAGTCCCACAGTACCTCAGTGTCTCGCCAGGGGACGCTGGCTCAGGCTGGCACCACAGCCTCAGGCCCAGGAGCCTGCCAAGCCCAGCCTCCTGGCCATGCCAAGGCTACAGCAGGCCCTGTGGGCAGGGGGCCACACATCCGTTCTCTGCCCATGGGTCCTTGGGGCCACAGAGGGAGCAGGCCGCTGTGCAGTGCCCCTGCCCACCAGAGGGAACCATGAGAGCTGGCTCCTCCTCTTCTGGGCTTCCCCACCATGTACCTGCGTGAACACACTCACACGCACACATGCACCTTATAACACAGAAAAGGACGCATCCCTTATGCGCTATTCTACAGCATGGTCCTTTTACTCACTTAGCAAAAGTACCCAGTGTAGGGTAAATATTGAGATGATATTCTGGAGGAATGAATGGTTCCGGGTGTCCTCCCACATTCATCTGTACACTAGCACCCCTCACTCTTCCTGACAGCAGCAGGATCTCCACGGCGTGGATGTCACCTAATTTACTCAAACCTATCCCCTAGTGATGGACATTTGGGCTGCTTCCAGTTTTCAGGCACTGCAAACAATGCTGCGTGAACATCTGTGCACATTTATTTTTGCATACTTGAACCGGCACTGTTTCAAGAGAAAACAGAATCTAATGTTTCTCTTCTTTTCCTGTGCTTATAAATCACATTCGGATTCGGAATTAGTGTTTCTTTAGGAAAAATAAAACTGGGTTGATTGAATGATTCACAGCAGCACAAACGAAGCTGGTTTGTGCCTTTCCAAATGGTAAAGTAATTAGCAAAATAAATTACATAATCCCTGCTTCCCTAATGTGCACGCAGACGAGTCACTGTACCAGTGGGAGTGCTCCTCCAGGGTCCTGACAGGCTCCGTGACATTCCGGGTGTCCCAGAACTTCACCTTGCAGTCGTCCCCACAGCTTGCTAAGTAGTACTGCTTGTTAGGATTGAAGTCGAGGTCGCGCACCAGCTGTCCGTGGGCGTTCTCGATACAGTAGATCTGGCTGGGGAGGGAGAAAAAACAGCATGGCGCCTGAGTTACATGCCGGGCATGGCTCCTTCTCTCAGGGCTGTGCCCAGTGTGGGCGCCTGGGTCCCCTCCCCACTCCTCCCCTGCACGGCAGGCTGGGGATGTGGTGTAGAGCCAGAAGCCTCTGCAGCAGTAAGGTGGCTCTAGTGTCCCAGGAACACAGCAGAACCCTGGGCAAGTTGCGGAAGTGGCGCCAGCTTGCTGCAGTCAGAATGTGACCTGTGTCTTGAGAGTGAGAGGGACGTAACTGCCACAGGAGCTGGGACAGGCTTCTCTGGAAGGACAGCAATGGGCTGTGGAAGGGTGTGGCGAAATCAGAAAGGGAAAGGAAGAAAACCAGGGAAGGAGCCAGAACAGAGTGCACTGCGGTATCGGGAGGAGAGACAGAGACAAAGCTGGAAAGGCTACGAAAACCAAGGAGACGGTGGCGCTGTCAGCACTGGGTTTGGGGTTCAGCTGTCCACAGCCCTCAAGGTGCAGCCGCTGGAGGGCCTGGGGTGAGCTTCGGGAGAGGAGTTTGAAATGAGCCACAGGGTGATTTAGGTGCATGTGCTTCCATCCACACACACGCACACACATACACACATGCGTAAGAGGGCACAGACATGCTTACGTGCACACATACAAGCATGCACATACTCACACATATCTAATGTGGGGCCAGATCCCCTGCTTGGCCGCCCTTCACGGAGCCTGAGATCAGAATACCCTGCCCATGGCGGCTCCTTCTGGGGCCGTGTGCCCCGCACAGGGGCGGCTCACCAGGGGAGCCGGGACAGCGGGGACACCGGGCTGGGCCTCACACTGGCCTGCCTGCCTCTCACCCAGGTGGAGCCCAAGCATCGCCTGCCATCCCTCACTTGCGTGCCATCCTGGCTCCGGGGAGCTCCAGGCCTCGTGACGTCTCTCCTGGGTCAGAAGCCACGTGGGGCCTACTCTCCAGCCCAGATGAGCTGACCCTGTCATCTTCCCGTGCTGGACCTCCCTCCCCGAAGACATTTAAATCTGGGACTGGCTTTTACAGCCTCTACCTTTTCAATGCTTTAATACTTTTTTCCCTAAAATAAGAGACCCCTAAACTTGAATATATCTCAAGGGAAACAAGCAAAAGGTATGAAATTAAGCTGAGGCACATTCTGCCCACTGGATGGGCAGTCGTACATGCGACGATTACTACCGGAAGGTCAGCTGCCTGCTCTGACACAAACCCCTAACACCGTCTGCACAAAACACCCCAGGCATCCTGGCTAGGTGACAACCGCTGTCACAGAGAAAGGGCAGAGGGGCAAGGCCTCTCCCTCCTGCAGCCCCACATACTGCGGGAGTCAGCGTCTTGTCCCAGGTCACCTGGCGAAAGAGGTCACCACAGGATGCTACCAATGATCACCGCATGCACCTGTTTTCTGCCTGTCGGTCGGTCTGAGGCTTTCTTATTACATCCTTCAAAGAGCAGTGAGGCCAGGAGACAGGACCACAGGACAAGGAGACCTAGGCCTGTGAGGGATAGCACCGTGGTCTGCACTGCTCGGCTGCCAGCAACACAGGGAAGCTGATCCCCACTTTGTTCAGAGCTGCATGGGCTCAGGACTGGTGACTGTTTATTTATTAGCCCCTGGGTTTTCAGAGGGGCCTCGGAACTAGATTTAGAGGTAAGCCCCCACCCGGGAAGCAATGCGAGTTATTGCATGATATCCGTCTCTTCGGCTCAGTGATCAATTATGGTGTGCTGAGGGGATAAACTGCATCTTTAAAAAGCTTGTGCGGGTGCCCGTCGCCATAGCAACAGACATCCCACCATCACTCCTGTGCCTATCAAAATCACAACTGGAACAGAAAAATAGCTCTTGTTTGTTCCATTAGAACTGTGGTGGTTGCAGATAATTACTTAAGTGACAAAATATGATTACCCCGCAGGTATGTCTCTTGAAAGCCCGGAAACGGTCAAGGACAACTCCGTGAGGAAGACTTCGCCGGGGGGACTGCAAGTGCCACCTGACTCATGTGGAGATGGAGTGTCCTTGTCACCGTGTCACTCATGAGCATCGTTAAACCCTGGCTGGAGCCGACTCGGGGACAGCGTCACAGCAGCACGCGGTCCACTGGAGGCACAAGGCCTGCACGCAACGGGTGTACGAGAGTGTTGGGGTGAAGATGGTTTCCCACAGGTCAGAGGAAGACAGACACACCACGTGCCCCCAGGTGTGTCTGGCTCTCAATCCCCTCTGCGCTGTCCGAGTCCCCTTAGGGAAGGGGCAGGGGGAAGCAGGGCTGAGGGTCACTGACCTCATGCTGCGCGTGTCCCAGCCACGGAGCGTGGTGTCATTGGCAGTGGCCACCTGGGTGCAGTTGTGATGCGGGCTCCAGCGTCCCGAGGTGAACCTCAGCTGTCCCTTCCCTTCCAGGGATGCAGAGCCGGCCAGCTGGGGACACCAGGGTATGGTCAAGGGAAAAAGGAGAGAAATTTGAACTCTTCACAAAAAATTCAAAAGGACATCCTACGCTCTCAGATTTTATGGAAAATAATTATTAGGATAACTAGGAAGCTCTTCATTTTCCTCCCTGAAAAAGACTGAACTTTATTGGAGGGGAAAAAAAACTATAATAGTGAGAACAGCAAAAAATAGAAAGCATATTAATAGACCTCTATTACAGAAGACTTGCTCGCAAGGGTGCGATTAGAGACAATCAGCTCAAACTTGAAGAAAACAATATGAAATAACTCAAACATCTGGTTTCCCCAAGACAGACACAAAGAGTCCACATGGCCAGTTGTGGTAACAAAAGGACCGACATATTCAGCTTAATCAAATACTGTTCCCAATTCACTTCCTCTCCCGCCCTGCTCCAGAGGTCCCCGAGACCCTTACCAGACCCCACAGGCCTGGGAAGAACGCTCCCTCCTGGCCCGCATTTCCCCACCCACCTGGGATCTTGTGCACAAGGCCCGTCACACTGGCTGTGCTGGTCCTTCTGTTTCAGGTCTGAGTACCTCACGCGGCGACTTCCAATGGCAGAGGGCCCAGAGGGTGGCACACACTGTGCCCCTCTCAGCTGCCCCACAGCGTACGCCAGCACCCATCGCTTTACTCAGACTCTCAGAGCCAGGCGAGCAGCTACTGGCCATGCACCCTGGGTGCTGGGGAGGTGAGGACAGCCCAAGTGCCCAGCTTGGACCTCGGGCACCAGCAGCCAAAGGCAGGCTGAGGGGAGTCTGGCTGGAAGCCGCAGCACTGAGGGGGTGGGCAGGGTGGAAGGGACGGGCTCTCTGGAAAAATTCACGAGGTCACTAACAAACAGGAAGAAGGGAGGAGGAAGGGCCAGACCAGGGGACACAGAGACCACAGTCCCGTGGCTGGGGCCACTGCAGTGTGGGACAGGCTGACAGAGTGGAGGTACAGCGTGAGGGGCTGTGTCGGCGCAGAGGCCAAAGCCTCCAGCACGCAGGTGGTGGGCAGCACAGCGTCAGGAGCCCAGAGCCTGGCCAGGTGCTCGGGGAGCGTCTGTGGGCCACTGTGGGCCACTCCTGTCACTTGTGGGGCAGGACAAACAGCAGCAGCTGCCCATGGACCAGGGCCAGACAGCAGTGGTTGACAACTGCAGGCTCCATAGAGGAGGCCGAGCTCCTCACAGTTCAGTGGGGATGGTGCTGAGCGTGCAGGGAGGGGAACAGGGCAGTGGGAAGCTTGCAGCACCCGGGGGACAGTTAGGGAAGCCAGTGACGGACGTCAGAGTAAACCTCACTGCAGCTGCAATGGGATGGTTACCGTGGAGGAGGGCCAGGGCGACGTTGTGTCAAGAGCTAAAAAGGACCCTACAATACACATTCTCAGACACAGGGTGGTTGATCTTGGCTTTCAACTGTGCAACTTAGAGTCGGGTCAATGCTTTAACCTCCATACTGATAATACAGAGAAATCTCTGTAGTATCCCCTTCAGGTTAAAAAAAAGTCAGAGTGTTTCCAGATGCTATTTCAATTTGTGAGGACTCAGTTATGAGGTTAGTGATTACTCTTCAATGACAATGGATGTGCTAAAAATACAAGATGGCCAAGCGGGAATGAAGAAAAGGCTGGCCATGTTTTCGAACTAGTCAACACTGGGCTCTAATCAACTTCCCGTTAAACACACGAGTCCGTACCGAACTCTTCAGGAAGATGGGACTTAGGTCGCCAGAGTCAGTGTCATCCCGTGCTCTCCAATGGCCATCTGTCCTGGCTCTGTGCAGACGCCCTGGTGACGTCAAATTGGCCAAGCTAAGCTCTGCCTGGAGCACCCAACGGCAAGGCAGCTGGGGAAGCAGAGGTTGGCGGCCAGCAGTGGCCAGGACAGCCCTGAGGACCCCACCAGGCCTGGTGGCCAGACAACTCCCTCCCTGAGCAGCTCTGAGACCACACGGTCCACGATGCTCACTTCTGTCTCGCTGGCTGTGGCAAAGCCACTCTGCAGAGGCTCACAGGGCAGGAATAGGGGATGGGGGATCTTGGGCCAATAGCCAGTGAGGAACTGGGAAACAGCCCTTGTCCGGCCACTCAAGACCAGCCCTGTGCCCTAGAGCCACAGCAGGGACCAGGAAGCAGGTGTTCCCTGACCACAGACCCCGAGACCCTCTAAGACTTCATGACGGGGCCAAGCTGCGGTGGCCCGAGATCTGGAGCAGCCCCGGGTAACAAGCATAGGCTGCGAGAAACAGGCGACTTTGTGGCCACCTGTGAGGTCAAGAGGAGGCAGGAGGACGCTGGAGGCACAGGAGGTCACTTAGTGATGGGCTCTGTCCCTCCTTACTTTACAGGTGGGAAGACCAGACCGGAGAGGGACAGCAACACACCCCGGGTCACACAACCAGCAAGAGGCAGACACAGGAGAGGCAGACACGGGCCTGGCCCCTGGCTCCACTGCTCATCTGGGAATGCATGTGCTCCCCAAGCAAAGGGAACTGTCCCCACAGGCCCAGACTCCAAAGGTACGGTTTAACAAAAGCCCGAGAGGGATTTCACACGCATTTCCGAGGGACTGTGCAGGGGAGGCGGCGTGGTTAGTCGTAAGGTTCATCAATCACAGTTTTGGGTTTCCTGGTGACTCAGGGAGTGACAGAACTCAGCAAGGACTCCACGGGGCGCCATGTACACGGTGATCTGGTTTGCAGCATTAAAGAGAAATATTCAGTGCTTCCTGGTCCGGGCGGGATGATGAAAGATGCCCCACAAACGTCTTCAGACAGGATGTGGCTGACGCCGGGCGGGAAAAGAGAACACAGCTCCTCATAGGCACAGCGCTGCGACCCATGTACCCTCCTGTAGTGCACACGGCGCACATCAGTGGAGCCCCGGCACGAGGCTTCCAAAGACAAAAGCTGTCCTTGCTGCCATCGGGGGCCAGCAAGCTGAGAGGAGAGCAGCCAGGAGTGCGGGGCTGCATCCACAACAGACTCCTACACACCGGACACTTGGACCAAGCCCAGTGAGGCCAGCGAGGAAGCCACAGCAGAAGGTGACAAATGTCAGGAATGCGGTGCTCAGTGCGAAGAAGGCATGAAGCACCCTGCAAATGCACCCCAGCTATGAGCTGTGTGAGGCAGGGGTGTGCTTATGCGAAAGCCGTGACCACCGTACTGAGCCACTTCCTGTCCTCGGGCCGGGGACTGCTCAAGGCCATGCATGACAAGCTTGTTCCCTTCACCAGTGACCAGCTTAGGCACGACATGGGGTGGTGGCCGACACCTGGATAGAGGCCCTTCTGGGAAGGGATTTCTTATGAAGAGAAATGAACACAGAAACCAGCTTTCTCTTGCCTGGTGCTGTGGGAGTCTGGATGTGATGACTGGAGCAGCTGCAGTCACCTTGCGGTCATAATGGCAGAGTAGAAAGGAGTGAAGTACATAAGTCCTTGATGATGGGCAGAAACTGAACTAATCACCTTGGAATCACTTTATTTGCATGTTTTTTGTGACAGCAGATAATAAAACTTCCTTGTTGGTTAAGCCATTTCTTTTTTTGTTTGTTTTGTTTTGTTACTGGGGATCAAACTTGGGACCTTGTGCTTGCGAGGCAGGCGGTGGCACCACCAAGCTAAATCCCCAGCCCTGTTTAAGCCATTTCTTGTAGCTTACAGTCAAATGAATGCATCTTACCTGCCACCCTTACAAGACCTGGCTGGAAATGACCCCTCTGGGCCTTGTCCTTGGCTCTCCGACTGGGAATTCCAGGGCCAGCTTTGAACAGAAACACCCAGCACCTGACTAGCTCTGCCTCTGAGTTACTCGAGTGTCTCTGAGGCTCAGCTTCCTCTCCTCTAATTCACGTGTACAGCCATGCAGGGTCACAAGGACTAAATGAGGTATGCATGTCGGGTGGCCAGATGACATCGGGCACATGGGAGGGAGCCACGAGGGCCTGGCCACAAGAGGACTGATGCTGTCCTCTGAAATGCACAGTGTGTGCAGCACCTCTGTGATCATATCCAGGCAGTGGAAGTGGAAGTCCCTGGAGAGTCCTCGAGGCCTGTTGCTACCTTCAGGACACCAGAGGAAAAGATCCAATGAGAAGTGGGCTTGCGTGACAGGACCCCAGCTGCCATGGCTCCTGTTAGGACAACAAAGCTGTCCTCATTCTGGAGAAAGGGCAGAGGTGGGTCCTGCCAGGGTCACAGGCCCAGGGCCGGGTAGGTGGCACTATATATCCAGTCACATGGGACACACAGACCTCTTGGCTGGGATTGCTGCACCTCATCAAGGGGACTTGGCCCCTGGGAAGACATGTGCAGAGCTGTGCTAAAAAGCAAGCAGCTCCTCCTGGACAGCAGGAGTCTTCCCGTACTCAGAAATCCGGGGAGAGGATTCGGGGTCATTTTCACATATTTTTAGTTTAATTGAAAAAAGACTCAATTTGTAGGCAAAATAGCACCAAAACCTCTGCTTCGCAGACCCATGAGTGTGGTGTGACCTCGTCCCACCCACAGCCAGGAGGGCCATGCATGCAGATGTGCAAGTTTTTCCCAAGATAGACTCAGATATAAAACTTATTCCTGAGACACCAACTGGGCATGCGAGAGGTGTCAAAGAGGTATCCTAATACAGTAGATTCTTTGCATAGGGAAAAACACCTTTCACGAAGAAATGCACAGAGACAATGGCAGTACATGGTGTCCGTCATAGCTGAGCTGGGATCTGATCATCACGTGCTGGCTTTGGGGATGGCCACTTCATCACAAAGCAAACACAGAAGGCTTTCTGGTACTTCAATTCCATTCCTCTGTACTCACATCTGCACTGGGATCTTCTTGGTGACTGACATCAATAATCCAGTTTTGAAGAGCTTGTATTACACAACACATATATGCATGCATCCGTCTATCCACACACACATGCACCTAGCCATCCATGCACACATGCATCCATCCCTCTCCCATCTGTCTACCCATCCATGTGTCTATCCACACTTCCATGCACCCATGGATCCATCTCTCATCCATCTATTCATGTACCCATGCTTCTATCCACACGTCCATCTATCTACATACTTGTGCATCCATTTACACATCTATCCATACACCCATATACCCACCCATCCGTCCACACCCATGCATGGGTGTACGGATGAATGGATGTATGCATGGATGGAGGGATGCATGAATGGACTGAGGTGTGGATAGATGCATGGGTCCATGGCTGCATGGATGGATATGTGGCTGCATGGGTATATGGATGCATGGATGGATGCTTGAATTTATGCATGGATTGATGTGTGGATAGATGCATGGCTACATGGTTGGGTGCATGGGTGCATGGATGGATGCATGGGTGCAAGATGTGTGGACGGATGGGTGGGTATATGGGTGTATGGATAGATGTGTAAATGGATGCACGAGTATGTAGATAGATGGACGTGTGGATAGAAGCATGGGTACATGAATAGATGGATGAGAGATGGATCCATGGGTGCATGGAAGTGTGGATAGACACATGGATGGGTAGACAGATGGGAGAGGGATGGATGCATGTGTGCGTGGATGGCTAGGTGCATGTGTGTGTGGATAGATGGATGCATGCATATATGTGTTGTGTAATACAAGCTCTTCAAAACTGGATTATTGATGTCAGTCACCAAGAAGATCCCAGTGCAGATGTGAGTACAGAGGAATGGAATTGAAGTACCAGAAAGCCTTCTGTGTTTGCTTTGTGATGAAGTGGCCATCCCCAAAGCCAGCAGGTGATGATCAGATCCCAGCTCAGCTATGACGGACACCACATACTGCCATTGTCTCTGTGCATTTCTTCGTGAAAGGTGTTTTTCCCTATGCAAAGAGCCGAGCTCCATGACCAGAGAACCAGAGGACACCGAGTGCTTGCGACTCCGAAGGGAAAGCTGGTCTGAGAAGGCTTGGTCCCTGGGATTCCAAACTGAGCCAGGACAGCATGGAGTCCGCACAGCTCACCACTAGGATGCTGGGCCTTGCCAGGGCAGCAGGGATGGAGGAAGGGGCAGCTGTGCTGTGGGTGTGGGGAGAGGAAATCACCGCACCACACACTCAGTTCTGCTGTGAACCTCAAACCACTCCACACACTAAAGTCTGCTTTGAAAAGATGGAAAAGCACTGTTCCGCAAAAGTCCCTACTAAAAAGGCAAAAAGACAAGTGACAAAAGAGAGAGAATCCAGATGGGACTGCGTCGGGGAGAGGGGCTTACGGGAAGGAACGTCTCCCGTTTCAAATTCTGGACAGAAAATGTCTAACAATGCCACGTCCCTGAAACACATCTGTTCTTTCAAAGAGACGTGGCTGTGTGCGAATGTCGTCAGGCGGACAGTGTCCCCTGCAGCCCATCTTTGAGAGAAGCCTGTGTCCTGCGTGGACAGACACCCTCTCTCTGTGTCCTCGGCCACTGAGAGCTTTGGGACAAGGAGGTGAAGAGGGAGGCTGTCCCCTCTGCCTTGCTCGGTCCTGGACCCCACAGCCCACTCCCTGCCTCCTGGGGGCTCTGCTAATGATTATAAATGGCAAACAGTCTCCAATTTAATTGCAAAGGGTAATGATGCAGGGAGCATAAGATTAGATTCACCATGGAAGGCAATATCCTCAAACAATAAAAAAAATGAGAAGCCAGAGTGGGGAGGCTGAAATCGATGGGAAGGTTCTGTATTAAATACCACAGTGGAGGGGGTGCAGAGGGGTATTGACAGAACTGCTGACAGCAGATAAAAAAGGAAGAGAGAAAACTAAATTGATCTCTGTAGAAGATAAGTTACAGATTAATCACCCTACCATGAAATGCTTCAGAGATGGCCTGGGTGTGCAGACACCTTCACCACGTGATTACAGTGCCACCCTGCCCAGCACCAGTGCGGGACATGGGTCTCTCAGGCACCCGGCTTGGGGGAGTGTGACCACAGTGTGGTCCTCTCAGCTGTTCCCAGGGTGGGGCCCAGGACCCGGCATGAGCTGCATTGGTCATTTGCATGGGACAAATGCACAGGTCAAATGCATGAGACAGCGTTTCTCCTCTTTCCGCAGCTTCCAACAGCTGCAGCACAGCTGGAGGGAAGGGCTGGAGGGCTCTCCTTCCACCATGCCCAGACTTTCTTCGGTCTCTGGAGGGCAGAAGGTCACCACCATGTCATTGCCCCTGCCCCTGAAGGTGTCCCTGGGCCAATCTCATGACTGAGTCTGCTTCAAGCTTCCTGCTTTACCTTGAAAACTTGTGTAAAATTTGGATTCTGCTACATGCTATGGGAATCTGATTTTTAAATAAAAACAAGTTTTCCTTGAGCACTATTAGTGCTCAAGGAAAACAGGCCAACTCTCAGTTTTGCATGGAAGGTTGTGACCATTCAGCTTTTAAACTTTAACAAGTCACTTAATATTTTTAAAAGTCCAACCTCTATGCCACATATTCATAACAACCAATCATTACTCATGTCATCTCTTTAACCCAGAGCATCAAGGAAAGGATTTATTAATATTGTAAAGCATCACAAGGGAAAAGAGCAAAGTAAGCATCACAGTAGCAAATAAATATAATGCAAGGCTGTCACTAAAGAAATCTACCTGACAGATACAGTTCTCAGTTCCCTGAGACCAGCGGAGGTAATGGGCCTGTGAATACAGGAAGTTAGGAGGTCTCATTTCAATTTCTCAGTATTTCCTTTTCCGAAAGTTATTACTTTGGAATAAACAAGTACAGTGCAATTATGAATGCATGGGGTTTTTTGTTTTTGTTTTTGTTTTGGTACTGGGGATTAAACTCAGGATCTTGTGGTTGTGAGGTGCCACTGAGCTAAATCCTCAGCCCTTGAATGCATGTTTTAAAAAACACATTTTAGGACCAGGGATTTAGCTCAGTGGTTCTGCTGCCTGCCTCGCAAGTGTAAGGACCTGAGTTCGATCCCCGGTACCAAAAAATACATAAATAGATAGATAGATAAATAAATAAATAAATAACACATTTTAAAAGAGAAAATTTTACAGGCTGGGCAACCTAGTGACTTAGCGAGACCTGTCTCAAAATACAAAAGGGCTGGGGATGTAGCTCAGTGAGAAGGCCCTAGGTTCAATCTCTGGTATCACAAAAAACAAACAAACAAAAAGTCAGGTGCAGTGGTGCACAGATATAATCCCAGCACTGGGGGGGCTGAGGTAGGAGGGCTGCAGCAAGTTTGAGGAAGCCTGGACTACACGAGTTCAAGGTCAGCCTGAAGTGAGACCCTGTTTCAAAAATCAAAGCAAAAAAGAAGATATTAAGGACTCAAATACATACCAGTATTTATGCTATGGAAGACAAAATATTCAAAATGATGAATGTATTATTTTTATGACTCAGGCAAATACATTAAAAAGCCAGTTAACATTGTAAAGTTAACATTTTATAAATGCTCCTACTTGAAAGTGTGATATTGGCAAAATATATGTTAACCACTTACCAGTCCAATTATTTAAATACAGGATGACCGAAATTTGCATATGGTTTTTTCACCAATTTTTATAAGATAATATAACAGGAAATATAAAAACGAAAATTGTATCAAATTTATTCAATACAAGAATTGACTGGTTGAAATGACACCTGCCTGAGTGACGCTGGGATAGTCAGTGTGCAAAGGCACTGCCTGAGTGATGCTCGGGCTAAACTGTTAAGTGGTTACGAAGCCACTTATCACGAAGCCATGTATGGTGGTGCATGCCTGTGATTCCAGCACCTTGGGAGGCTGAGGCAGGAGGTTTGCAAGTTCAAGCCCAGCCTGGGCAACATAGCAACTTAGTGAGACCCTGTCTCAAAATAAAAATAATAAAAAGGGCTGTGGATGCAGCTCAGTGCAAGAGCCCTAAGTCCAATCCCCAGTGCTGGAAAAAAAACATCATTAAAAGGACAGTAGACTTCTGAGCGAGAAAAGCCCCTTGGATAACCCAGGGTCGAGTGGAGCTATCAGCTAGGCCTGTGTAGTATCTCACAGGGCTCCCTACTTTTGTGGGGGACCTGTAAACATATGCAAATCGAGAACTATGTTCTGCATTTCACCCCAAGGTCCAATTCCAAAAGCAACCCCCCCAGTCCCTGCCAATGCTCTGCTTACCACGGCCTGGTTAGAGCTTTCCTGGAGGTCCCAGAGCAGGATGTGGTTATCGGCCAGAGAAATGACTTTCTTCCCATCTCCCATTGGCTCCCACGTGACACTGAGAGGAACAGAAATGCCAAGGATCAACAGGGACATGGTCCAGAGTCGCTGCAAGTACTTGCCGACCTGCCTCTGAGAGCCCAATGACCGCCACTGCAGATTGAGCTGTGACCCCCAAATTCTCATGCCGAAGCCCTGCCCCCAGGGGGACAGTGTCTGGGAGGCGGCAGCACCTTGATGGGCAGAAAGCTGAGTGAGAAGGGGTCATGAAACCCACACTAGCACCAGGCTGCCCTCCCTGTGACCAGGGGCACATTTCCTTCTGCTGGCACCAACTTAAGCCGGTCTACAGCCCAGTCCATCCCAGTGATACAGTGCATGGTGAACAGTTAGACAGAGGCTGGAAGTCCTGTCACCTCCAGGGTAAGAGCCAGAAGACAGGATGCGTCTGTTAACATAAGAGAGCAGGTCTCAGAGGGCCAGAGGGCCGGCACTCACAACACCACCAGGATATTTGTCCACACCCATAGCCACGTGGCTCCATAAAGGGAGGGGAGCCTTGGACAATCGCTGGACTACAACTTGAGTAGGCGAGCAGCCAGCCGACACCTAGCGACACTGGCCTTTAGAAAGCTGGGAGACAGAGAGTAATGCACACCGTGGATTTAGGAGTGTCGGGTCAGGGAGCCCCAAGCCTCTGCCTCAGCAGACGGTGCAGGAGATGGGATTTGGACAGGACAGGGGCAGGGAGTGTCCTCAGTACCTTCCTCTCATTCCACGGGTGGCGTGGGAAAACAGAGAAAGCCCATGTTTTTATATCTCCAGGATGCCACTGCCTCAGCTCACTGGGGAGACAGTGGGCACTCTCCCTAAGAGTCAGTGTGGGCTCAGTGTGGGACTGGGAGGCAGAAAAAGCCAAGTCACAGGCCGGGGAAGCCTGGAGCTGGTTCACAGGAGACCAGACCAGGGCTTGGAGAGTCTCGGCATGACAGCACAGCAGCCAGCACATTCGGCCAAGTGGCGGGAAATGTCAAAAACAGAAACAAAAATGGGATAGGAGGCAAAAAACAGGGACAGTTCGAACATTGTGACAGCAAAAGAATTCCGTGCCTGAGGCTTTGAGGGGGTCCAAGTCTGGGGGTGCATCTGCAGAGACCAGTGGAAGGCTGCACATGCTGGATTCTCATCCCAGTGCAGATTGCATGCAACCACTTCTGCTGGGCCCAGGGCCACCCAGGGTGAATGCAGCAGCAGCCAACAGGCCATGATTTGGGGAATGTCGGCCCATCAGCTGAGCCTGCCCAGAGGCTACACGTGGTAGAGGCTTGGTGGACAGCCCGCATGCTCTCGCACTGCCACTCCCAAGGGGGAACACATAAGACCCTAGTCCATGCCGGTAGCCTTGCACTAGCACTGTCTACAACCAGTGAGGGGAGAAGCCCAGCTCCAGATGGCCCAGCAGCCCCCGCAGTGAACAGAGGCCGGGGAGGGGTGGTGCTGAATAAAACCAAACTCCACATGTCCGCTTCTATCAGGCGGCACCCAACAACAGAAGTCCAGGATAAATCATCATCCCCAGCATAAACACTCTCATGAGGAGGGATACAAGACCTGGTTTTACTGTGTGTGTGTGTGTGTGTGTGTGTGTGTGTGTGAGTGTGTGTGTGTGTTGCTTTCCCACATCAACGGTTGTTCCATAGAATTTTCTAACTTTGGAGTTTCATGAATTTGATTCAATCTCCCTCTCTAGTCTCTTACTTTCCATTATATTATATAAAATATTCCCATCCCTTCTCCTGTCATATAGCCTCACATCTCTCCTTCCTCCTCATTTCTTATATATAAATACCATTAATGCCTATTTTATGTTTTGTTTTCTTTTTTGGCCTATCTTACATTATTGCCCTCCTTTCCTTTTACTGGGTAGGTAGAGTAGTAGAGGACGTTCAAAGTAAGTTTTAAGTTATACATCCATGTACTTGGTCCTTAAGATGTGGACATTACTGGTAGCTAATGCTCTCCTCAAAAAGTCCTGCTAGGGTTTGAACCTAGGATTCTGCAAAGGGCTGAGTAAGTGCTTTCGCCCTGAGACATACCCATAAAGGGAGAGTCCCTTACTAAAGAGACCTTAACTAAGACATCCATGTCAACTGATCTGCAAACCTTGACACAAAAACCATAAGAATCATGAGGAAATAAAGCAACAAAATGGCCCCCAAAATTGGAAATTCCCATAAAACTGGTTCCACAGATATCAAAGTGGACACAATCCCAAAGAATTTTAAAACCATAATTAAAATGAACTCTGGGATCAAAGATGATACAAAAGAGCACCCAAATGAATCAATTATTAAAATGATCAATGAACCCACAGAAGACAGAGATAAGTAGCAGATGAATTAAGAAAGACAATGCAGGATACGAAAGGCCACTCCAGCAAAGAGACAGAGGATCTGAAAGAGAACATAAACAGAAATCCTGGAAATAAAAACCTCAAATAGTCCAATAAAAACCTCAATTGAAAATTTCAGTAGGGGGCTAGATGAATCAGAAAAAAGAATATCAAAGCTTGAAGACAAGGTAGATGTACCAAAACATTCAGTAATAATAAAGAAAAAACTAAGAATGAATGATAAGAGCATTCCGGAGCTCCTGGATGATTATATGAAAGAACAAATTTATGACTCATTGGCCTCAAAGAGGGTGAAGAAATACAGGCTAATGAATATTCACTGAAATTATACCAAAGAAATTCCAAAATCTGGGGTTGGGGTGGATATCCCAGGTAATAGATGCATTTAGAATTCCAAACAGACGTGACAGAAAAGAACCTCTCCACAACATATCAGTCAAAATGCCAAAAATTCAGAAGAAAGAAAGAATATTAACACCTGCTAAAGAGAAATACTGAATCACATATCTGATGTGGAAAAACCCAACAGAATAACAGCAGATTTCTCAACAGAAACTCTAAAAAGCTCAGAGATGCTTAGAATGAGGTACTTCAAATCCAACCTAGATTATTATATCTAGGTTATTCTTCAAAACAGAAAAAGAAATAAAGACCGTCCAAGATAAGAAATCCACCACTAACCCAGCACTGTAGAAAGTACTCAAGGGAATAGGAAACATGAAGGAGAAGACAATCATAACCACAAGACCAAGGGAAAGAATAAATCTCATTGGGAGAGCAGATAAACAAATGAAAATCATGACTGAATTAAACACTAATAATACAGTAAAATGACAGGAATTAATATATACATTTCAATAATCACAGTTAATGTAAATGGTCTTTTGTTTTTGGTACTAGGGATCAAACTCGGGACCCTGCACTTGCGAGGCAGCCAGCAGAACCACCAAGCTAAATCTCCCGCCCATAAATAGTCTTAATTCCCCAATTAAAAGACACAGACTGGCAGATTAGACTAAAAGAAAAAAAAAAAAAAACAAGACCTAACTATATTTTACCTACAAGAAATACACTTCAGTGAAAAAGACATAAACAGACTGAAAGTAAAAAGCAGGAAAATGATTCTCCAAGTTGCTGGAGCCCAAAAGCAAGCAGGAATAGCTATAGCTATATTTGACAAAATAGACCTCAAACTAAAATTAGAAGGGACAAATAAGGCCACTATAGATTGTTAAAAGACACAATTCACCAAGAAGAGGTGTCAACTGTAAATACAGCAATAGCCTGGTTCACAAATGATTCTGTTTGTGAACAATTTGGTTTGCAAACGGAAGCATTCAGCAAAATTTTGCTTCCATTTGCAAACTCCACATAGGTGACTAACAGAACCATGGCCATCTTCCCCAGAATCATGGAACAAATCAAGTTCATGAACCAAGGTACCACTGTATACACCTAATGTAGGCACACTTGATTTCATAAAACAAATACTACTTGCATAAAGGGCTAGAAAAACCCCAACAATTACACTGGGTGACTTTGGTAACTGTCAGAGATACCACTGGGTCTGTACTTGGTGCCGTGTTCCAGGGCACCTGGGAAGCTTGGCAAGAAGACATGTCCCAGTGTCCCCAGGGCAGTGGGCAGCATGGCCAATGGTAAGGGCAGGCACTACATTCCAGGTACAATGCAGCCTTCAATGACAGAGTGTTTCACCTCAAATGCCAGTGGGGGATCGAACTCTGGACCTTGTGGAGTTTTCTGGGAGAGGCTCTTCCTCAGGTCTGCCCTGGGTCCTGAATCACAATGCCTTCTAGAGTGCCTGCTTTCCACTGGTGGCCTTCTGCCCAGCCAAGAGTCCCCTGATGTCCCCCAAGGTCTGACAGCATCCTCAGGCTCCGGGTCTTGGCCAGCGAGGCTGTCATCTGTGTTGCTCTCAGGCTATACAGTGGGAGCCCTCCACACGCTCAGCCTCTGCAGATGCACACACAGTGCTGTGCCAGGAACACCAGGCTGGGGCCTTGGATCAGGACTCCAGGCTGCGCAGGCCCACGAGGCTGGCCTGTGAGCACCATGAGGAAGGTATGCCTCGAGGACGGGTTTCCTGCTGCACAAAGGATGTGCTGGAGAAGGGAGTGGATGCTGAACCAACTGTAGCCATGAACCAAGGCGGCCTCTGTCACATCTGAGAGGACTCACAGCTGTGAATTTAGAGTGCAAAGGAACTTGCCCTTTGCATGCTACAGGTGTTGATCTTGCCACATCATCTAGGTGATCCACAGATTCCAAGAGCAGAGAAGGGAAGTAAAAACCTAGGTACTAATATTAGTTATGGCACTAACAGTTTGCTAACTTGCCTTTAAAAAACTAGATTAAGGAGGGCCAAGGATTTAGCTCAATGGTTTCGCCATGTGCTGCGCAAGCACAAGGACCCAAGTTCGATCCCTGGTACCAAAAAAGAAAAAAACCTAGATTAAGGAAAAAGCAATCATCTTGGGAAGCATGAGAGTGCTCAAGGATTTTTCCCTCTAGGATTAGTCTAAATGAGGTTTAAAGACCCTGGCAGGAGAGAGACTGCATATGTTCTCAAAGGAAAAGTTATGAAGACCATCAGAGATAACCACAAGAGTCAGCATTTCCAACAA